TATATATATATATATATATATATATATATTATATATATATATATATATATATATATATATATATATATATATATATATTACAAATGTAATATAACATACATTTTATAATCCGGATAAAAACACAAATCTAACTTTAACTCTAAATTCAGATCTGAGATCTTATCTAGGGCAAGTAACGATTATGCAAACCTTAGATTCGCGAGTTACAAAGTTCCTACGATTCGTGAATAAAACCTAAAAATGATGACACTTAATTCAGTTGTGCGATTTGTGCACCGTCTCATCGCAGCTGTCATAATATTTAACGCTCGCTACAATGGGCGGAAACATTTTTGCGATTTGTAATATACCAATAGTGTTATCCGTACTACACTCTTCATTTTCAAGTTATCCTTCTTTATTTCAAGTTATTCCTTCAATATCTTACGTGTATTTTCACGTACAATATAAGTCAGAGAGGTTCCTGTTACATGTTTTTCTTTTTTGTATCTTGTAGCTCGAAATTGCAACACTGTTATTGTGAATATTGTCTGACGTAAGCACATATTAAATTTGCAATCGTTCATAATGCAGCGGTAATATTTGAATCCAACATTCAAGAGCTGGCGACCAAGTGTTTATATATCACATGTTTGATCGATTATGATTGATGCAACTTGATATACGATAACGACAAGATACACAATCGCCGTATATACGTGTGTGCGTATGTGACTTAGATCATATATCAAATAATTTATATGTTTGTAAAACAGATAGTGTCAGCTAGATATTTTTTTTTGTTCTTGTAAAGTAGTGTCTCGCTGCAATTCTGAGTGTATGTCGCATCATCGTTCAGAAGTCAAGTTGCTGATACAGTAAATAAGAGAGAACTCTGGGTTCTCATATTGTACAGTTTGATTTGGACTATCATTCCGTTGCTTATCGTCAAAGTACTAGTGCATTCCTTCTACGGAGTGAAATTTCTTCAGACAATTTGCTATCACGATCGAGATGCCTATTCTAATAAAGGATATCTGAATTAAGAGATAACCGAATCGATACGAATCGTAACGCAACAATATGACCAAGTAGGAAATCGTGGGTAGTGATTGGTGCATGTGAAAGCAGTTTTGGCACGTGTCAACTAACGGAAAATCAAGATTGAAATTTGTAGTGATCTCTTCTTATGCTATGAAGGTTGGTATTCTAGTATTCTATGCGTATCAGTGTTTCAAAATTGATTAATTAAACAAACTTACGGTGAAGTTCGATTAAAATTATGCTATCTCGTCCGGATGGATACTCGTAGTAGCATTCCGTTGCGTTATCCTCAACAGGTTTTAAAGTTGCGACGATACTCGCGAGGTTGATTCGCAAGTGACGGCCGACAGTCGCCGACTGTCAGCCGCGTCGTCAAATTGCCGTCGGCTCCGATTCACGCCACTAAAACGCAAACAATAATTAGGCGCCAGGTGCGGAAAGGCCGCACCACCTCGATAAACGCGAGATCCGATATATAACACGAAATTCGCGTGGCCCGGAACCGTCGGGACCGGTAGCTCTTACGATTTTAAGTCGGAGACAGGATGGATCAGGAGAAGGCGAAAATGACTCCACGCGTGTTCGATAATCAGTAGCTTTATTGTCGGGACCCTCGCACGTCCCGGTACTTAACGCGGCAATAATCACAAAAGCAGTCGTTAATCGCGATACGACATATACTCATGACAACGAAAAACGAAACCCGAGGACGATCTCCCCGGTTGAGCCTTGTTACACGCACGGCCGCTCCGCGGACAAGACAACGGTACACGAATCGAGATTAACGACGGTCTGACAAAATACGGAGTAGATGAGCAGTCTTACAAATTTTGGCGGCGGCCGTTGGGGTCAGCTGCGACGGTGGTAGTGGCGCTCCTCCTTCGGGTGCTCGCTCTCTCTCTCTCTCACTCTCGGCACGTCACTCTCCCCGTCTCGCTCCGCACGTCACTCCCTCCGTCACTCTCTCTCTCTCTCTCTCTCTCTCTCTCTCTCTCTCT